TCTAGTTTTTTGCTGCTCAGACCAGATCACTGTTACAAGCAGTTTCAAGATGTGCCTGACAGCAGATGGAGTCACCCAGGTCGTTCATCCCAGTGGTCATGCAGCAAGGCTGTCCCCAAGGGGGTACCAGGTGACAGGGAATGGTTATCAGAGTTTCTAAACTCCTTTTCCTCACCCCCATGACTGTGCCACATCATCTCCACATCTTGGTAAAGGAGATACAGCATTCTTCACTTGGTGAATCAATTCATGTTTCTAAAGAGCGTCAAGAGGTATGGCTCTGAACGTATGCTAAAAATGTCACCAAGAGGTCCATCCCAGCCCCTTATCTTAAACTGAGTTAGTGAAGAAGGGAGACTGTAGCTGGAGGAAGATCTCAGCATGGAAGAGCTTACATCTCATCTGCTGCCAAAGTTACCTGGAGCTGCCTGGCTACACAGCAACACAGCACAAAGCTGGAGAGATGAACCGCAGCTGGACCACTGTGGGTAAGTACCCTATTACACTGATCTCAAACTTGCCATTGAAGATCTAGCAATCTCTCCTTCCGTCATACCTCATTAGTGATGAAACTTCAGCAAGGCCACTGAGGAATATTTCCAAACATGAAAGACATTGTTCACTGCAGAATGGTTGTGGGAGGAGAAAATGGCTTGCCAGCGCTATGGATCAAAACCACAAAATAGGAAAGCAGGTGCGCATGCAGACCACAGCTCATTTAGCAACGTCTCTGTCACAGGGATGGAGAGCACTGATTTTCTGCACCAGCCGGTCCCACCAATAGGGCTTACCTGAGGCTTACATGATGAGCCACCACTGTCTGCTTAACACACAGGCTAAAACAATATGCACTTTCCTCTCCATTTGATAATGCAGACATTGTCCTACTCCTCTCCCAAGGTCAACATAAATACCAGGAAACTGAAAGGCCATGGCCCCTTTTATGATGTCCCAAAGCCCACCAGCCCGAACACTAACCCACCTCTTCCACCACCAGCACCACCATAAAACTCTCCTCCAGCGCACACACTTCTCACCTGCTGTCCCTCTTGCCATAACACTCACTTTCCATGAGAGAGCCCAGCGGCATCTCTGGT